GGCGTCGTTCTTTTGAAGCTCGATAACGCAATCACTCCACAGTCTTTGTCAAACCCCTCTGCATTACTCGTATCATTTTTCCAAAAACATCTTTGGGTAATGTTAATCATTGTTGCCTAAGTATTGCTATACATGGGTACTGTGTTTATACATGTCAACTTGAGACTATTCTTATTGCAAGTGTTAGCTCTTGACTTTACTTCTTAAAGTTCTTTTGGTAGCCGTGAAACTTGGCAAGGAGTCGTAAGTAAATATTTGTGAACTCGACGTATGTGTAGTTGCAGAATACTGCGCGACAATAATTCCGGTGCTGTAACACGCTAAAATAATCTTTACTCTTATCCAGCGTTATCCAGTGAAATGGGTCAATCAGTAAAGAGATTGGCGCTATCCTCTTGATCAACTCTTTTCATTACAGTTTCTGTGGATCATGGATATTCGACATGATCTACAGTTTTCCAGATACCGCGGCAGGATAAAACTTTATTTGCAGACAAGGGCACTGCTTTCATCTATAGAAAAACAAGTAAGCGGATTAGGGGTGGGGGGATNGGGGGGGGACAGTATTTTAATTCTCCAATATGCTGTAATTTCTGCCAGCTCCATCGATCCATAGCCTATAAATGAACTCAGATTTCCGATGAAATCCATTTGCAATAAACTACATTTTATAACGCCAACACCTGTCCACTGTTCAGCAGTGTTAATGAAACACAGTCCAGCGAACTCAGCGTAAGTAAATTCTTTACGCAAGATGGGCGCGGTAAATGAAACTGGGAAGATCAAGATGAAGAACAACAAACCAATAGCCTCTCGTTTTGACAAACTGGGGGAACGTCTTCGATAGATGGTTCGATAGCTCTCGTACACAATAGCACTGACACTCAGGAACGCCACGTTGGCAAAGTAGGTAGAAAGCATGGAGTGTATGGTGTAGAAGATACGGTCAAATATCCATTCACCGAAAACCAGGGAAACAAAGACGAACGGCATTACAATGAGGCAGCTGGCCAGGTCAGCAATGCTCAGGCTTGCTACAAAAAGGTTTAAGACTGGGTGACGCACATCGCTCAGTAAGACGGTGTGAACAACGCGTCCATTGCTGCACACACCAACGACAATGAAAAACAACAGCGAGGCTGCTTTGACAACAACGTTGGACAAATCAGTTTTTTGTTCAAACGACGATTGAGTTGAGTGGATCATGCTTAGCCGTGTGGTGGAGTTATAGAGAGAGTTTCTCCTAGATCAGCAACAATTTTAGCAAGTTCAGTCGGTTCTCTTCACTTTTGCTAAAGTCAAAAGGAATGCCTTGCGTTAGTTTCAATGAAAAATATCTTGTTGTTGATATAGATTCGGCAAGTATCTCTTCGAGTTTTAATACGTTTCCATACAGCTGTTAGTGCAAAGGGAATAAAAAAACTTTCCAACCTTATCTGTCCTTTGCCTTTCTTCGTTCACTCATGAACTTGCAAATTGGTGACCGACCATTCAATACTGTGTAAATTTTTTTTTCGTCTTCAATTGATGAATTATAACATTAAAAATACCGTACTGTTCTCTCAAAGATTCTCGTTTCTCCGTTGTTCGCATGACAAGCCTCTCAGCGAGTTTAAGCTAAATAGTCACCCCGTGTGCTAAGTCAATGCTTGAGAATGAACTATTGTAGTAAATCGTCAAGGCCTGTAGCTCATAGAAGTTAGGCACGAACGTTATGCGTTATGTTTCCTCATCTGAATAAATGTGTTTATTGGAGTTAATTGATGTACGTGAGGAATCTCAAGAAATGATTATACAATGTCATTTACGTCAGAAAAGTGACACATTTCACTTGTTACGTCTTATTGCGGTACCATATTTGCAATTATGGGCGCTTCCATTCAACCAAAACTTCCGGAACGTTCGTAACGGGGACAAAAAGTGGAATTTTTGGTTGAAGGGATAGCCCCCTGTAATCATTTGGCAGTCTTGCCATTTTAAATAGTGAGTATTAAAATTAGAAGTTTGTCAATAAATTTTCGGCGTTTTTAGCAAGAACTAATTAAACGCTTTTAGGCTGCAATGTCTTCTTGATTTTATCATTAATACTATTGCACCTAGCTCATTGTCGTTTCTGAGTTCTTTGTTACGAGGCAGAATGTTTACAGGGAAATGTGCATCCTAAACAGTGATTGGTCAGGAAAGACTATTACGAGGCATAGCTTACATGAGCCAATCACATAAGACGCAAAACAAATTTAAAAATTTGTCTACTTGCAAACTCAGTGTAAAGCGCCATATTCTAGCAGACGTTTTCAAATTTTGTCGTCTTTTCTTGGAAAAATCTCCTACAATCAGTTACAATTTGCTATCCCGTCGCTAATTCACTTAAAATCACGTTCATCTTGGTGTTCTAGGAACGTTTGATGTACAGGCCGAGATACTAAGTCATGATTTGAACTCTGCTGTGACCAAAAAATTTTGCAAAATGGCTAGTGTCCCTTATCCCTTTAAATTGATATACAGCAGTGTTCTAGAAGATTTTTTTGATTTCCAGGGTACGGATGAAAACCGTCGAGTTATCTTCTATGAAATCTCTAATAGTAAGTTAAGCCTGCATGCGAGCCAAGTAATCAAACAGGCTGGAGCTTATTCCGGTTTCTGTGGCATGAAGCGACTACGAGTATTTCTACTCCCTCCTGGATGGGATGCTAGTCCATCGTAGGGTTACTGTGGTCTTTACATCTGCTATATATCAAAATTAAAACTCACAACATATGAAAATTGAACAAAATCTTTTTTTGTGAGTTCTAATAGGTTATAAGCCAACTGGTTGGCAATGACATACGCGTTGCTAAGGATGTGGTAACTCCATAAGCTACTGTCTAGGGTACAACGCGAATAACCATGACGCGAATCCGACACCAGCCATGAAAACAACCAAGCCCGCCCTGGTGCTTAATCCAGCAGCTCCCTTGAATGCTTTGTAGCACTGCAAATATACTTGTAGCGGCCACAGCGCCTCCGTATACCACAGATTGGATCAACGCAACGATTGAGTTTCGGCTACTCCCGCAGCTGTGAACCTTATCCGTGCTAGTCCAAATTGAGTCACAGCTAGTGCAAAAATTCCTCCCATTGCAGCAACTAACGCACAATACATGAAAGACCATTCATTTCCCTCGCCCTTTGTACTCTTATCTGACAAAAGAAACGTTGTAGCTGTATATTACACACGATTTTAAGGTCAAAATATTTTAACGAAGTTTTTCATGTGACAGAAAGGTAATCTTACCAATTTGTCATTAAGAGCAGATCTGAACAATATGCATTACTCCTGGTGGATGCCTACGAGTCGATTTGATAAGTTTGGAGGCTCAAGTAACTGAGGAATGAGAGTGATTTTGCTCTTTTACTGTAGTTATTGCTCTGGAATTAAAATCAAACTTATTATAATCCATTTCGTGACCAACATTATGTGATATGGATATCAAATAAGGGACTAATTATTTGTGTATTGTGCTTTTGAGCCAAAATGTTTCCACTCGTCATTGAATGCTGGGGACTGGGCACAAGATTGTCACGGTCTATTTCTAGGCTATTTTCTAAAAAAATTTTAACCGCAAAATGAAAATTCGTTTTATTAAAAGTTCTGATCGTCTTTGCAGAGCTCGGAGTGAAACCTACGATCCAACACCAAATATTACACGTTCTGCCAAGAAACCTAAATTATTTCGCCGCAATTCAAACAAGCACTGGTGAATTTGAAAAGCATACTTTGCGAACAGTTTGGCAGAAGGAAAAGACGTCCAAATAAACGGACCATTAAAAACAAAGAAACTTGTCCAGCAGGAAAATCTTTTAGTAAAAGAAAAGATGCACGCTTGAAGCTCAGAGGATCGCCGAAACTGTCGCAATAGCTCGAAGCGGAAGGGTTGATTCACGAACCGATGAAAGTTCTTGAAGTTTTCTTTCACTGCTATGATCCAGAGAAGGCATATAGTTCTTATATTGCTTGACATTATATTCAGGGCACTGATAGAGATCATCAGCTCTTACGAAATTGTCGTCGACTCTTTTCCACGAAATCTAATTTTCTAAATGTCCACGAAAAGGTCTTCATTGTAATGAGTTGAAAGCCATCGGGGAAAGTCACTTTTCAACAGATGTATGAGATTTGCTGACTGCAGATTGTAGAGTGCGGACTGTATTTAGGCATAAATAGCGCTCCGGGTAGCTCGAGTATCACTTAGGCTAGCCTTAAGGTTACGGTATACCTTCAGGGGTGTCTCGCGTGCAAACGATGTAGCGCGTAGAGTTTAAGCGGTAGATACCTAAGCCCCTATATCAAATTAAAGCTTATAGAGCTGGCTATCAAACTATTCCAAGAATTTTGAAATAAAATAAATTGTCGAATTTTTCACGACCACTAAATGCGAGTGCCAGAATCACCTTTCGGGAGCTACAAGTCAAAGCGATTTTTGTTTTTCGTCAATTTCATTTTTTCCTCGGTTTCAGGGCCCAAAGCGCTTAAAAAACGTGTCTGCGTTTTGTCATATTCAATTGCAGTAAAAAGTCACAGAACATTTTCGAAATAGGATTAAAAAAATTGTAGAGTGATCGTACAAAAATCGCAGACACGTTTTTGTAGTCCATATGTTTAACTAACTACTGTCCAAATTTGAGGGCAATTGAACAAATTTTGAGTTATAACTCTATAAAGTATCTGCTTCAAGCAAAAAAAAATTATTCGAGAAAACAGCGGAAGAAAAATCTTCTGCTTTGCAAACAAACTCCGCCCGCAAATGCATTCAACTGGGTTCTCAGATACAGTTCCTCCCACTGAGCCAATCAGTAGAGACTTTAAGCAACTTACGACGACGGCCCAGTGGACGCCCGCTGCGTGCGCTGGAGACTGGGTCGAGGTCGACGTCTTTTGGCGGGAAAGACAACGCTAAGCAAACTTGAGGACGACACTATTTTTTTCACAGATCTAGAGGTCTTTGCTTCTCCATTTAAGTATGGCGTCTCTTAGGGCTACCCGAGAAACTTTATTGTTCGCGTACTGTGACGAATGTTTGGATGACGTGGAATTGGTGGTCTTAAATGAACTTAACACTTCAGAAAACCTTGACTTTTCCTATGATGCATACGATCGGTTCAACCTCGACGATATGGACGAAGCCAAGTGTATTGCCGAATTTCGTTTTGAGAAGCGACACATTCTGCGATTAGAAGAGGTGTTACAGATCCCTCCTGTAATGAAGTGCAATCAGAGGTCGGTTTTCACTGGAACGGAAGGACTGTGCATGCTTCTGAAAAGGCTTGCTTACCCTTGTAGATACTCAGATCTTATTCATCGTTTCGGCAGACCAGTTCCGGTCCTGGGCATGATTACCAACGAGGTTATAGACTACATATACAATACCCACCATCACAAGATAACTAATTGGAATAACGATATTCTGAACCCCGCTGCGCTGCAAATGTACACAGATGCAATTTCAGCAAAAGGAGCAGCCTTAGACAACTGCTTCGGATTCATAGACGGCACTGTAAGACCGATTTCTAAACCCGGTGAACGACAAAGAGTGATGTATAATGGCCACAAGAGGGTCCATGGCATCAAGTTCCAATCCATTGCACTACCAAGTGGCCTCATTGGTAATATGTATGGCCCGGTCGGTAAGAAAGTAAGGCAACAACCTGATTATAGTTATAGGGGTTGTCAAGAGTAGGGGGAGGGGAGGGAGCAATTAAATTTAATTTTATTAACCAGAGAACTTCAGCAAGCCCCATTCACAGAGCAAAAATTTGGTTCTTACCCTCCTTCTCCATTTTCAGTTAATCATCCAACATCTTCTTTACAGAACCTGACGGGTCTAGGGGAGGGTGTGGTTTTGAAGTCTCCAAGCACTGGAGGTCAGAGGTAACAGAACCCCAGTGATAAATTTTGTTTTCTGACTAAACCCCTAGTACTTGAATGTCAATGGTCTATGGGTCTAAGAACACACCCAGTGCTCCTTCCCTCCCTCTGAGGAAAAGTGTTAATCTATTAGATAAAAACATTTTGTTTTCCATGTTGATCACCATGGTGAAGAAGGAAGAAAACATGATACAAGTATGTTGACAGAGTCTGGTCTCTTGAGGGAACTGCAGCAGAATGCAATCTCACCAGCTGGGCAGCCTCTGTGCATCTATGGGGACCCTGCATATCCACTAAGGATGCATTTGCAGGGTCCATTCAGGAATGCCCACTTAACTCCTCAAATGCAGCGGTTTAACAAGTGCATGAGTGAAATTAGAGCATCTGTTGAATGGCTATTTAATAACATAATTAATTACTCTAAGTTTCTTGATTTTAAAAAAAACCTTAAGGTCGGCTTAAGTAGTGTAGGGAAAATGTAAATTGTATCAGCTCTCCGTCGCAATGCTCTCACTTGTTTTTTTCTTTCTTTCTATTTTTGGTGAAGTTGTGTTGTGTTATGTTGCGTTGTGTTGTGTAAAAGGGTAAACTTACGACTCGTATAAAATGCGAAAAAGTCTCTAAATTAACTTGAGTATTTTTGAGCAAAAATTCCTCTTGGAAGGGTTATGTGATCGGTGAGTGAGGGAGTTATGCATGTGCGCGTGTCACACCAATCACAGTGCGGGTTGTATCAAAGGACGAATCAAATTTCCTGTTAGAAAATAAGATGGCAAATACATTAATCAGGAGACGTGTCAGGTTACTGTCGTTTGTTCAGTCAAACATTTTATGGCTTGCTATTAAGCTATCTTACCATGACCGATGTAACATCGCAACCATAAAAACTTGCCAAATTAACCAAATCATCACTGTACCATGAATGCTTCTATCTCCGACACTTCACACAAAAAAATAACTCTTGCACGCCTTGCGTGCCTATGTTTT